GAAACTTTCAGGAAAAAATGGAGAAACAAAAAAGAAGTTTTTGAGTTTTGATGTCAGGAGAGATCCAAGAAAGGGGCAGTTCAGCATCAAAAAATACATGGATATAAAAAATTCTTTGTATTAACCAAGATAAGTTTATCATCCAGTCCTATTTTCCACATAATTTTTGGAATACTTCCTATTTAGGTTATTGATCCAGTTTTTATCTTTCTTTAATTTTTTATTTATTTGAAAGGCAGAGACACAGAGACAGAAGCAGAAAAGAGAGAGCTTCAAGCCACTTGTTCATTTTCCAATGCCTACATAAGCCAGAGCTGGGCCAGGCAATAGCCAGGAGGCTGAAACTTAATCTGGGTCTCTCACTTGGGTGACAGGGACTCAAGTACTTGAGCCATTGTCTTTTGCCCTCCCAGAGTGAGCATTAGCAGGAACCTGGATCCAAAACAAAGCTAGGATTTGAACCAAGGCACTCTCATGAGATGTGGATATTCCAAGCTGTGTCTTAATTTCTTCTGTGTGTTTAAAAAGCCTCTTTTTAAAAAAAGTTATACAGGTAGAGTTATAGAGGCAGAGAGAGAGAGAGAGAGGGAAGGAAAGAGAGAGACAGGTCTTCCACGCGCTGGTTCACTCCCCAGATGGACGCAACGGCCAGAGCTGCACCAATCTGAAGCCAGGAGCCAGAGTTACACAGAGAGAGAAGGAGACACACACACACACACACACACACACACACACAGAGCAAGAGAGAGACAGAGAGACAGAGAGAGAGAGAGAGAGAGAGAGAGAGAGGTCTTCCATTTGCTGCTTCACTCCCCAATGGCTGCAATGGCCGGAGCTGGGCCTATCCAAAGCCAGGAGCCAGGAGCTTCCTCTGGGTCTCCCACGTGGGTACAGGGGCCCAAGGACTTGGGCCATCCTCCACTGCTTTCCCAAGCATATTACCAGGGAGCTGGATCAGAAGTGGAACATCTGGGATTGGCACCCATATGGGATGCCAGCGCTGCAGGCCAGAGCTTTAACCCACTGTGTCAGAACGTCAGCCCTGATTTTATTTTATAATGGCCTCAAATCAAGAGCATGTGGAGGGTTACCCCAAAGTACTGGGACAGCCCCAAAAATAAGGGCAGCGCAGGCTCCTCAGCTCCTCCCAGCAATGTGAATCATCTACCTTAGAAAATCTATTGGATCATGGGGAAAACAACCTAAATGAGAATGGAGCACTATTACAAGTATTCATCTCAGGCTACTGTCTATGTTACAGTAATTGTAGGTAAAATGGCACCATCTTCCTAAGCCCAGCCTGGCTTACTAGAAGTCAGTTGACCAAATGGCCCAATCACAAGCATCAGCTCCACCCCCACCATAATGGGACTTGCTGCTCCCATTTCCTTATTTATGCAAAGTTATATAAGACCTGTTCTCTCAGTAAAGGCTGTTCTCTCATGCGTGGTAGTCAGTCTATCAGGCTATCACCACCTGACAATAAATCTTCTCCCTTACTCAGTTTGGTGTTTTGTGGTGGCCTTTCCTTTCAGTAATAGTCAACTTCTAGATGCCCTGCCTACACGCTGCTCCCTTGCAGGATGTTCAATAAATTTATCTCTGTTCACTCAGAGTGCTCTGAGAGATTCTTTCACCACCCTGGACACCAGCCTCAGTAGAGCTCTTCCTATGATAACGCATTTTGGTGCTATCAAATCAAGATACAGCAAAGAGATGTTCAAAGCACTTCCAATAAGTTAAAAGGTAACTTATTAAAAGTTCTCTGCTTAGTAAGTAAATAAAAAAATCATGCTTAGGGAAATATTCTAACCATGACATTGTCGGAAAGAAAATAATCATGCTACTTTTGCTGCTGCACTTCAAAATACAAAAGCTATGAACTTGGTGTGCTTAGTCAATATGTGAATGGCATTAATTTATAGAGTTTGGCACCATCAGCAGTTTCAAGCACCCACTGAGTATTTTGGAATATATCCTCTGAGGATAATGTGGGAACTACAAGTTTTGAAATGGGAAAAGTCAAGGAGATAAAGTTCATGAGCTGGAGGCCACACTTACCCCATCCCATGTAATCCTATCATCAATCAGATGACACCTCCCTAAGATGTACCTCCCCTTACCTGGGACCTAGGGGCAGTACTATGTAACCACTCCCTTTTTCAAAGTTAATAAAACCCCAGTGAAGAGGAGGGGTGCTCTCTCTCTCTCTCTCTCACCTCGTGGACCCAGAATGAGCACAGCAGGGTATGAAACTCTCTTTTTACCTTTCCTGGCCCACTCTCCCTAAATGAAGCCCTCATGTGCCTGAATGGTTTCTTTTTTTTTTTTTTTTTTATCTGATGGCAGGAGCCAGGTACTTATCCTGGTCTTCCATGGGGTGCAGGGCCCAAGGACTTGGGTCATCCTCCACTGCACTCCCTGGCCACAGCAGAGAGCTGGCCTGGAAGAGGGTCACCGGGACAGAATCTGGCGCCCCGACCGGGACTCGAACCCGGTGTGCCGGCGCCGCAAGGCGGAGGATTAGCCTAGTGAGTCACGGCGCCAGCCTGCCTGAATGGTTTCTAAATAAACCTTACCATGCTGCATGCCGCTTGTGCCTGTGCTTAGAATTCTACTCTAAGTAAAAGGCAAGAGCCTGCAATATTAATTTTGGCCCAACCTAACCCCAACACTTTTGTCTAACTAGAATAGGCAGCAAAGTGGGGGGAACGCATACAAACTTATTAATGTGCAAAAACACAGGAGCTATTTACAAAATAGGAGGTTCAAAGGGACAGACAGCTGAAGCTTAAATAGCACTGAGCTACAGATGTAAAACAAGGACTTGAAACTGCTGGGGGGGTAGTGAAAGGAACCTATGAGGAAGGCAATGTAAAAAAAGTTGTTCTATTCTATTAAGGATAAAGTCTCTCAGGTAATAGTCTTCAAAAGACCATTTGTGGTAACTTCTGTACTGACCAGGTATCAGACTCCCAATCTCTTATTCCTGTGAAAAGATATTTCCAAAAAAAACTAGTAGCAGGGAAACATCAAACAGAAAAGCATCTGACTCCCATCTGCTATTCATCTTACTAACATACAGGGACATAATTTTTTTTTTTTTTTATTGAGAGGTAGAGTTATAGACAGTGAGAGACAGAGAGAAAGGTCTTCCTTCCGTTGGTTCACCCCCCAATTGGCCGCCACAGCTGGAGCTGCACCGATCCGAAGCCAGGAGCCAGGTGCTTCTTCCTGGTCTCCCCATGCGGGTGCAGGGGCCCAAGCACTTGGGCCATCCTCTACTGTCCTCCCGGGCCACAACAGAGAGCTGGACTGGAAGAGGAGCAACCAGGACTAGAACCCGGCGCCCATATGGGATGCCGGTGCTGCAGACAGAGGATTAACCAAGTGAGCTGCGATGCCGGCCCCGACATAAATTATTTTCTAAAAGGACACTTTTTCAGGACCATTCATGTGTCTGCAAAGGTATGTAGTTTGCTAAATAATCAACTCAAAGTATGCACCAAAGAAATTTATTTGGGGTGGGATATTTTGATGTCCTTTAACTCATCTTTTGTTAAAACACATGGAGGGCAGGCACTGTGGCATGGAGGGTAAAAGCCACCACGGGCAGTGCCAGTATCCAATATGGGTGCTGGTTCAAGTCCTGGCTGCCCCATTTCTGATCCAGCTCTCTGCTATGGCCTAGAGGAAGCTCCTGACTCTTGGCTTCAGATCAGCCCAGCTCCGGCTGTTGCGGCCGTTTGGGGAGTGAACCAGCGGATGGAAGACCTCTCTCTGCCTCTCTGTAACTCTTTGCCTTTCAAATAAATAAACCTTAAAAAAAAAAAAGCACATGGCCTTTTGTCCCTGGTTTCTGAAAGGACTCTAGAGCAGTTAGATTGATAACCAAGGAAAGACAGTCTTTTGTTATTTATAGCAAACACCTTACAACAACATCTGAGCTTATGTTAATGACCTGATTTCTGGAAAATCATCCCTAGATAAACTCAGTATGGTGGACTGGTTGCCAGGGGAACCAAATATTTCCAGAGAGTTGGAACTAACAGCTCCATTACTCTCTTCAGGGGGAGGGGCTAAAGACTGAGTTCACCCCTGATGGCCAATTATTTAATCAATTAATCAATGACTATAATGTAATGAATCCTCCATAAAAACCCAAAGGATTGAGTTCAGGGGTTTCCTGAAGGTGAACAAGAACATAATCACGGGGTACTAGGTTAAGCTGCAGCCTGTGATGATGGCATCCTATATGGGCACTAGTTTGAGACCTGACTACTCCACATCTAATCCTGCTCCCTGCTAATGCTCCTGGGAAAGCAGAAGAACTTAGGCCCCTGCATCCATGGGGGAGACTGGAAAGAAGCTCCTGGCTCCTGCCTTCAGCCTGGTCCAGCCCTAGCTGTTGCGGCCTTTTGGGGAATGAACCAGTGGATAAAAGATCTCTCTGTCTCTCCCTCTCTTTCTGTGCAATTCCTTTAAAACAACAAAAAAGGCAGAAGGTGGTGCAACCCAAGCAAGAAGCTCCTTGCTCTGATCATTTCCAGACCTTGCCCCATATATTTCTTCATACATCAAATAATATAGTAATATTTTATAGTAATAAATGTGTTCCCCTGAGTTCTATAGGCTGGCTCTAGCAAATTAAAACATAAAAGAGGGTCATGGGAACCCCAATTTATAGCTAATCTATAAGAAGCACTGGTGATACAACCTGGACCTTGTGAATGTTACATGAAGTACAGACAGTTTTGTGGGACTGAGCTCTCAATCTATGGAATTTCCTGGTTCAAATGTCAGAATTTAATTCAAGGATACTCAGCCTGTACCTGCTACACAATCAATTGCTTGCTTATGTGTAAAGAAACATACTTGATGTCAGAAAAGTACTTTGGGAGCACAGTGGGAGAAATTCAGTTTGTCTTTTCTCTTTAGCATCTCTTCATATGACTGTTTTTTTACTCTGACATTACTGACATCAAGTCTTTAACACTTACAAAATACACTGCTCCAAAGCTTCCATGGCCAATTTCTCTGAGATCTGTGAAGAGCTTCTCTGGATCTTCTTTGAAAAACAGCTCTGCAATTTCCGGGTCCTTTAGGCTGCCCGCTCTGTTAGTTGATGGCATCCTGCTGGGCAGTCAGCTGTCTGATTCTAATTTTATATTGCTATCCCAATCCTTGGTTCATCTGTATGAATGAAGCCACGCTGACATAAACTACTGTAGAGAAATAAGAAAAGAAAAAAAGTCAGGAAAGGCAGTTGCTATTAAGAATAATTAGTATAAGTTAATTTACTGACAACATCTACAAAATTCTCAGGCCTAGAACTTCACTGAAAACACAACACTACCATCTGTTGCAACCATTCCTAAATCTGACAGTAGATTACCATAACCTACAGCACTTAAAATTTTTTCCTGGGGCCAGCAACCTATTTTGGCACTAGTTTGGAGTCTTGACACCCCACTTTCCATCCAGCTTCCTGCTGATGTGCCTGGGAAAGCAGCGGAAGATGGCCCAAGTACTTGGGCCCCTGTACTCATGTGGGAGAACCAGATGAAGCTCCTGGCTTTTGCTTGACTCAGTCCTAGCCATTATAGCCATTTGGGGAGAGAACCTGTAAATGGAAGATTTCTCTCTCTTCTCTCTCCCTGTTACTCTGCCTTTATTTGTTTCTTTTTTCCTTTAAGATTATTTATTTATTTATTTATTTGAAAGAGAGAGAGAGGGAGAGCAGAGAGATCTTCCATGTACTGGCTCACTCCCCAAATGGTTGCAATGGCTAGGGCTGGGCCAGGCCAAAGCCAGAAGCCTGGAGCTTCTTCCAGGTTTCCCGTATGGATGCAGGGGGCCCAAGCACTTGAGCCATTTTCCACTGTTTTCCCAGGAACATTAGCAGGGAACTAGATTGGAAGTGGAGCATCAAGGACTTGAACTAATGTCCATATGGGATGCTGGCATTGCAGGTGGCAGCTTAACCCATTACACCATGATGCTACCCCCTCTAACAGTGCCTTTCAAATAAATAAAAATAAATTAAAAATAAATTTTTGGGGGGACCGGCACTGTGGCGTAGTGGGTAAAGCCGCTGCCTGCAATGCCAGCATCCCATATAGGCACCGGTTCAAGACCTGGTAGTTCCACTTCCAATTCAGCTTTCTGCACTCCCATGGGAGACTCAGAGGAGGCTCCTGGCTCCTGGCTCCTGGCTTCCGATCGACACAGCTCTGGTCAGTGCGGCCGAATGGGGAGTTACCCAGTGGATGGAAGACCTCTCTCTCTGCCTTTATTTCTCTCTCTCTGGTAACTCTGACTTTCAAAAAAATAAAATCTCAAAAAAAATTTTCTACAGCCAGCGCCGCAGCTCACTAGGCTAATCCTCCGCCTTGCGGCGCCGGATTCTGTCCCGGTTGCCCCTCTTCCAGGCCAGCTCTCTGCTGTGGCCAGGGAGTGCAGTGGAGGATGGCCCAAGTGCTTGGGCCCTGCACACCATGGGAGACCAGGATAAGTACCTGGCTCCTGCCATCGGATCAGTGCGGTGCTCCAGCCACAGTGCACCGGCCGCGGCGGCCGTTGGAGGGTGAACCAACGGCAGAAAGGAAGACCTTTCTCTCTGTCTCTCTCTCTCTCACTGTCCACTCTGCCTGTCAAAAAAAAAAAAAATTAAAAAAAAAAAATGTCTACAAAATACAGCACTTTAAAATCTTCTTCTTCTTTTTTTTTTTTTAATGCTTTTTATCAGTACTTAAAGAGTTATTTAGAGCTGATGCTGTGGCGTAGCAGGTAAAGCCGCTGCCTGCAGTGCTGGCATCCCATATAGGTGCTGGTTCCTATCCTGGCTATCCCACTTCTGATCCAGCTCTCTGCTATGGCTTGGGAAAGCAGTAGAAGGTAGCCCAAGTGTTTGGGCCCAGCACCTATGCGGGAAACCTGGAAGAAGCTCCTGGCTCCTGGCCTAGCTCTGGCCATTGCAGCCATTTGGGGAGTGAACCAGCGGATGGAAGACTTCTCTTTCTCTCTCTCTGCCTCTGTCTCTCTGCCTTTCAAATAAATAAATAAATAAATAGTTTTTAAAAAAGAGAGAGCTATTTAATTCAGATGCAGTCAGCAGGAAACGTAACACATCGGCTAAGAAAAAGTTTCTAACAAAACTCCCATCCATCAGTGACATTCAAGTATAAGAAAATACACAACAGATGTAACTCAAGCGGTAGGCATTTGGTCTAGCTATCAAGACTGTCAGAGTTTAAGCCCACGTGCCACATCAGAGTGCTTGGATCTGAGTCCTGGCTTTGCTCCTGATTCCAGCTTCCTGCAAAATGCACCCTGGGAAATAATAGGTGATGCTCAAATAGTTGGGTTCCCAGCTCCCAACTTCAGCTTGGTCCAGTCTTGGCCATTGCCAGTGTTTGGGGAGTGAAGCAGGGGATGAGAGTTTTCTTTGTCTGCCTCTCAAAAAAATTTTTTTAAAAAAGTTACTTATTAAAGGTTACTTTAACTTTCAGATATCATTATATGCCAGTGAATGAATCAACTTGCACAGACATTCTAAAGAAAACTGCAAAGAAAATATGAATTTAACAGATAACTGTTTCCCATAAACCTGATTTACATTAAAACGCGGCCTTCACCAACCCTACCTCATTCGATAAGAAGATATTAGAACACCAATAAATTCCCTGGTAGTTCTATTATCAATTCCTTTATATCAGATTAACCAATTTAAAACTGATTGTTATAACTGACAAGCTCAGATCTGAGTTCTGGAATGACATTGCCTGGATATGCAACCAGGCAATAGTATTTTCTTTTCTTTCTTTTTTTTTTTTTTAATCATTTTATTTATTTGAAAGAATTACAGAGAGAGGTAGAGCCTTAGGGAGAGAGATAGGTCTTCTATCCACTGGTTCACTCCCCAATTGACCACAGTGGCCAGACCTGAGCTGATCTGAATGAAGCCAGGAGCTTCCTCCAGGTCTCCCACACGGTTGCAGGGGCCCAAGGACTTGGGTCATCTTCCACTGCTTTCCTAGACCATAGCAGAGAGCTGGACTGGAAGTGGAACAACCAGGTCTTGAACCAGCGCCCATATAGGATGCTGGTGCTGAAGGCAGCAGCTTTAACCTGCTGCGTCACAGCGCTGGCCCAGTATTTTTAAACTGTGAACTTAGTCTCATTTTCCTAATCTGTAAAATGAAAATAATTCTTATTTCATAGAGTAGTTGTAGCAGGTGAGTTAATAAATTAAAGCATAGACTAGTACTCTAACACAGTGAGCACTATAGTAACTATTAACTATTTTAACCTGCTTAAATTCAGCTGTTTACTTCAAAACTGATTTCATAGACTGGTAAGGAAAAAAAATCCATCAAATTCTACCCATGCCCTTTATATGAGTAGATCTCATTTCTAGTGAAATAAGAATTCTTCCTCAAAAACTCTTTTGCAACTACATAGAAACACATTTATGTCTTTGCTACTTTCCAACATGCAATACAAAGGCCAAATTGTTAATGTATATTTCATTTCTAATATAAATCCAATGCTTCCACATATATTTAAATTGATTTCTCTGCTCTGGAAGTATCCTAGGAAAGTCTCGATTGTACTCTTCAAAGAATACATGACCAGGGCCAGTACTGTGGTGCAGTGGATTAAGCTGCACTTATAATGCTGGCATTCCATATGAGTCCCCACTGCTCCACTTCCAATCCAGCTCCCTCTAAAGTGCCTGGAAAAGCAGCAGAAGTTGGGCCAGGTGTTTGGGTGCCTGCCACCCACATGGGAGATCTGGATGGAGTTCCAATTTCCTGGCTTTGGTCTGGTCTAGTGCTGCCATTTGGGGAGTGAACCAGCTGATGGAAGATCTCTCTCTCTCTCTGAAACTGCTTCAAATAAATAGATAAATCTTAAAAAGGAAAAAAAAAAAAAGAATATAGGACCACAGTAAAGTCACTTAAGTTCTCATTCCTAAAATGAGATGATTGAACCAATTTCCTTATTAAGTGTTAATATTCAATTAATCAAACTCTTAAAAATTTAGTATTACCTAAAACCTCATTTGAAAGATCAAAATTTCCTCACCAGTTCATGATGTGCATTTTCCCTTTTAACTGCATAACAAATTCACACTCAAAATTTCAATGTTTTAAATGTCAATGTAAAATTTTAACTCTAACTGGAAGAGTTGGTCAATCTTCATGCTCCCAAAATATCTTGCAGCATTTTCCATATTATATTGGAATTATTTTTTTCCTCTCTCTGTCCTAGATAGGCAAGTACATTGTAGCTCATTCAAATTTTTTTTAAGAATTATTTATTTATCCGAAAGGCAGAATGACAGAAAGAGAGAGGGAAGAACAGAAAGATCTTCCAGCCACTAGTTCACTCCCACAAAAGGCCCCAACAGCCAGGTCTGGTCCAGACTAAAGCCAAAAGCCAGGAACTCCATCCAGGTCTTCCATACAGATGGCAGGAGCCCAATACTTGGGCCATCTTCCACTGCCTTCCCAGGCCCATTAGCAGAAAGTTGGATAGGACAGGCCAATTAGCAAGTAGCCCATCAGAAGGAACAGCCAGGATCCAAACCAGCACTCCAACATGGGATGCTGGCTGGCTTAACCCCCGGGGCCACAACACCAGCCCTTTAGTCATTTTTGCATCCACTCTCTATCTCCTAAAGTAATTATATAAATATTTATGAAAACAAAATAATGCACTAATTCTCCTCTTCCATACAAGCTCTAAAAATGATTCCACTTCCACAAATATTTACTAAACAATAGCATGCTGAACATTATTATAAGCAAAACTATTTTCTAAAGATTTATTTATTTATTGAAAGGCGCAGGATATTTGCTACAGATAGAAGAAGAGATAGCAAAACAGAAAGCCAGCAAATAAGATCTTCCACCCACTGGTTCACTCCCCAAATGGCAGCAACTGCCAGGCCAAAGTCAAGAGCTTCATTCGAGTCTCCAACATGAGTGGCAGGGGCCTCAGAACTTGGGCCATCTTCCACTGCTATCTCAGACATATTAGCAAGGCGCTAGGTAGGAAGTGGAGCATACAGGACTTGAACTGTTGCCCATATAAGATATCAGGTTCTCAAGTAGCAGCTTAAATCCCTATGTCACAATGCTGGGCCTAAGATAAACTCTTATTAAAGCTGATAGAAGTAGAGTAAATTCATCACGATTAACACTTTGCAGAAAATTAG